TTGGTGTTAATGATTGAATCAACCACACAAGTAGTAGTCAATTTAAACAGCATTGTTTTTAAAGAATTTATTCAAAATAATATTATTAAATGTATAAAATTTAATGATTTTTAATGTTGCAATTTTTTTGATACATCAATCTCAGTCCATATTTATATACTTTATTTCTTTTTTTGATAAAAAATAAATTTATCCATTTAGTAGATTCAAATAGATTTTATTAGAACAAATGGTACACTACAGCAAAATTTCGAAGAAACCAAGTGTATCTATTACACATAAAAATATTTAGCTTGTAGCCTATCCTGTAGAATATGCATGCAAAATTTCGTGTTTCCTGATTTTTCTATTTATTGATTGAAATTTCGATAGAAACTTTGCACGCGTAATTTATAGGGCCTGGTTACTAGGCCACAAACCACATTGTCAACCCGTTATTCCATTCAAAATTAATATTAATATTAAGTTATTAGTTAGTAATTTGGTTTTAACGGGGTGGATTTACCGCTTCTGGAACCAATTTTGGTTTAACAGGGTTTTTGAATTAACAGGGTTGACTATGTAGTTACGTTTAAAATAAAAAACTGTTTTACTGTTTTAGATATAAAACAATAAATTTTCACAAATTCTTCTTTTGGATTCTTGTTTTGAAACTTTCATGAATATTGAAATCATGAATTAGTATTATTAAAAAAAGAAATAATAAAAAGAATAAAAAATTCACTTTTTCAACAGCTTTAGTTTTAGTTTAATTTCTTTTGGCATATTTATTATAAATAAATATTTTTTTTATATTTTCTATCTTTGCCGATTAAATCTAGGTTCTGTTTTTTTAAATGCCGCGTGTTCTGAGTGAGCTACAAATTGAATAAAGTAAGTATCATTAAAATAACGTACTAATTTCAAAATTTTCCTTTTTTTTCTTTCTTTAAATAAGTAAAATACCTTTATAGTATGGCATTTGTAATTCCGTTGGTGATAAAGAAGTTTTCAGTTTTTCCAAGACTGTTGAATGTTGACTTGCATCAGCATTCTTATTCCAAATATTGAAGATGTCAGATGTTGCCCTGGACGAAACAGTTAAACCAAAGATATCATCATCTACAATATATATGTATGAGTGTGCGTGCGTGTATGAATAATTATCGTGTCATATAAATTATATGCCAAATAATACCTTCGAGAAGATGATCTTCAAATTGTTCACCGATCAATAACATTAATAATTCTCTCCAAACCCTTGCTGAATCGGTTTTATTCACACGAAAATACCATGCTCCGCCATTTACATTATTCGGGTCTTCCCTACATACATGTATGTATGTATGTATATATGTATGAATATATGATTATTATAATTATATATATATATATATAAACATATTATCTTATAATATTACCATATTGGAAGAATATTATTTTTCATGAAATGTAAAGATCCTCTTGGTTGTAAATGTTCAGGTCCTTGAATATTATTATAGACTGACCAGAATTTCTAAATAATAATAGTTAATAATAGTAATTAATATATATATATATATATATCACAATCAATTAAA